AAGGGGGCGTGGGTGGGTGGGAGGGCTGGGTTAAGCAGCCTTTTGATAGGCTGCTGCGGGTAACAACCACTTCGCACTGCACGGGAGTGGGTAAAAAAAAACACCTTTTGTTATGCTGAGTGTGGGGTCAGGGAGATTTTGGAAGTGGGCGCAAACGGCTGATGCTGCGTGGGGGGTCGGGGGGATTTTGAAAGCGGGTGCAAACGGCTGTTCAATTATAAGGTAGCTATAGTTTGAAATACAACCACTGAGAAAAGGAAATGGCTGTACAAAAAATTGAGAGGCAGCTAACGTTTGTCTTGATTTATAACATCTTTCTAGTGATTGCTCAATTTGAAACCATCCTCTCGGTTGAAGTTGTGTCTGTGTTTGTAAATCTGGATGGCCTCGTGGACAAATCTCTGATAATAACCGGTAGGTTTGCAGAGCACCTTGGTATCGGAGAAAACAATATCATGATCACCCACAGCATTGTAGCAATGATCAGCCACGGCAGAATAATTCGTTCTGCCGTGTTTCAAATCTTATTTGTGCTCGCGAATTCGGCCTGTTTCTCAGCGCATTGCGCTAACCACTGCGCCACCGCTCCACGCCCCACACACGTACTGACAAAACACACCCACTCTAACGGTATCATTATGCATAGGCACACATAACACACACGCCCTTCGCCCAAATAGCAGCGGGAGATAATTACGCGTTTACGCTGATTTATTAGACGCCCTGTGCAATACGAATGCGGCGATCCTTCCCCCCCCCCCAAAAAAAAAAATATAGCACTGTTCTGGGGTGGTCTCACATCAAAAACAGCTGCAGGGTTTGTTTATAGCTGCGGGTGGCCTTCAAATGATGCACAGTGCGAGGTGGCCCAGCGCCCATTCGCTACATTGCAATTGTCTCTATGACATCCGCATACCAGTCGGCAACAATGAATTCCTGTCATCAGATGACAAAATGCCGTAACTACGAAATCCGTATTAGTGTTCCGTTTTCAGCGTGCGACCGAATTATGTTATCAAGGTAATAGCTAAATCATTATTCGGAATGCTTTCATTAAAATAAATAAAATCTAATTTATATTAAAAATATTTATAATTAACAGGTGAATGACTACAGCTTAATGCAACGACAGCTGTGCCAACTGTTACATACCGCAGAGGCCTACAATCATAATAGTAACAGACATAATAACAGTAATTATTCACAGCCCTCTGCTGGTTAATGGCCTCCCCCACGTTGTCTCAGCCATGGGGCCGGTTTGACCATACTTCACCTCGCCGGTCAGTCGGTGCGGGTTGGCGGAGGGAATGGGAATGATGGGCAAGGCCTTGGACCGGTTCCGATATCGCTCGCCACCCGATGTTCGCCGTGGCATTCAAGGCTTTAAATGGACTCGCTCCTCCCTACATTCACGACTTCCTTCAGCTACGAATATTCCATCAAGATCATTAAGATCTTCAGATTGTGCATCATTGTCAACGCGTGCCTGGAATCTTCTCCAGGTGTTCTTCAGAGCCCGGAGGCACATTTCTCGTGGCATTGTTGCAAATTCTCAGTGAAGTGTTAACATTTTTTCGTAACACCCTTTAATGTTTTTTGTGCAGTAGTCTGCTTGTGGGGCAAGGCTCGGTGTTAATTGTTAGAGTCTGGTGAGGTAGCTGGAAGCTACATAAACGGTTCCCACTGAGAGCCACTAAAACTGCAAGATCCCCTCTGTGGGTGTTAGCTCTTGCAACGTGATTTTAGAATGTGTCACATCACCTGGAAAAAAAAAACCAACACACACACTCACTCAAACATACACAAAAGCGTAAAAAACACACGCACACACCGACACAGCATCTCCCGTTCAACCTCAACGACCGTAGGCTTAAGTGCTGTTAGTGAGCATCTATTAAGACTGGCACAGAATACAAGGGTGGTGTGACGAGGCTATTCGGTCACCTTTGTGTTCCAGGTGACACTATGAAAGGTCATTTATTTAAGGCTGAGTCAATCTATAGGAGGTTCCAGAAAGCGTTACACTTGCTACTCATGTTGTGCGTGGCTTGAAATCATACTGACAGTGATTGTGCTAGCCTAGGTGTACTTTGAGGTCACAAAAAGTCTCAAAAGGGTTTGTTGGCAGGATATAACAACTGACCCGGGTGTAATGGGTTAAGTTAATGCAGTGACTGGCAGATGCACCACATGCACACTTTGTGCAACTTGGGGCACTCACGTGACAGCATCCTCGCTCACTCCTCCCTCCCCTCTTACATCTGCCCGGTTTCCCCACAACTCAACAGCAAGCCTCCATCCCCAGAGGCCTGCGTAATTGTCACTTTAATCGTCAGTTAATGACGGTAGGTGCACAGCTGATTTGTTTGCACCCAAGCCTCCCTTCTCACAAGGGGCATGGGGCCCAATTCAGCGAAACTTCGTACTCGAATTGTAAATGTAGTGGGTTTACTCTCCAACACACCGGTGTGCTGAACTAGTAACGAATTGTTGACGTGACAAACCGTACTAATTGGCTGTGTCGGGTGGTGGGTGGTTTAACGACACATTTATATTTACACGATATAACCCAAAAACCTATATTATGGATAATATTGGTCGCGAAAGCATACTACTACTACGTGTTAAACTCGTATTGAAATGTTTTTTGACCATCGTTTTGCCCTGTTTTTGGCAGAACGATGCCCGTTTATGCAGAAAGGTGGCTCAGTTCTACCATTTCCATTTCCTTCAGAGCCATTCGCAGGACATTCCACTGTAGCTGAGTCTGATTTGACTAAAAAAAAACGTTTCAAATGTATGCCGTCAGACATTATGGCCCAGTGGTAGATTGGGGCAGGGTCAGCCTAAAGTTCTTACACGCTTAAATTATCAAGCAATTTTATTGTGTGAAGGATATGATGCCCATTATCAGTAAACCAGGTGATGTCCATCCCATTGAGTGTGATGTTAAACTGCTTATGGTATGTAATTTAGACACGCGTGCATCTGTAGGCATGTGTTTGTGATGGGGACAGGGCTTCCTTTCAGCTACAGTTGTCTGGGGCTGAGCTCTGGGGGAGATGGCAGTAGGCATGGCTGGAGTTTAGGGGGTGGGGGTATCGCCTCCACCCCCCCACCCCTCAAACTGGACACCTTTATACATTTATTTTCAGTAGTTTACAATGTAAGATGAAAAATACATTAATTATGTATGCAGTGGCATCGTGGAATGCCACTGCATGATGTGTGAGCCGGGCTGTGTGAGGCACGATATGGGGCAGGCACACTCCGGACAGCCTGCACTACGGATGCAGTACCGGCCCTAGCGGGGACCGGCTGAGATCGCCAATCAAGGATGGGTGGCATTGCATTTCACGTGCAGTGCCAGCCTCTAGAGGTTAGGGCGCGAGAGTGCCAGGTACGGTGCACGGTTTCACAGGGGGCCATGGCACTCTGTGTGAACCCGGAGGTCTGGTGACCGGAGGTACCAGCCCGGGGGCCCCCAAAGAGGGGACTGGGGGACCACGGGACCAGGACCAGGTCCTTCTCGAAGGCTCGAGAAGGTGGGCGTGGCTAGGGGCGGAGTGAACCCCGCCACGGACAATATAAGCCGAAACGCGCTGAACGGGTCGGGCGGCTGTCGCAAGAATCAAGACTTAAGTCGTCACCGAGAGAAGCCCTGCCCGACTACGAGACCCGGACCCGAGCCGGGGTCCGGTCTGAGGTCGCCACCCAGTGTGTGCTAGAGTTAGCTAGCCCGGAGGGGATACCTCCCTAGGTTAGCTGGTGAAGGCGCAGATATACCCCTTCGTGGTTAGGGCTTGATTGTTAATAAACGTGTTGCATCTAAGAAGCTTCCATCTCCCTGGTGTGAACCACTACATATGCACCCGCGATTCCTAAATTCCTAATGTGAGGGGCAAAGCGAACCCCTGCTCCCCTCCCCCAAATATAGAAGTCAAAGTCCGCCTTTGGCAGTCAGGTCCAGGGGTTTTGTGGTTATGGGGCCCTGGAAAATACTCCATGAGAAATTAAGTCCTTGGTATGAGCAAAGCTACACACTTCATCACTACAGCAAACTGAATGCCCCTCCACTTGTTGAAAGCAGGGTTCGACGCCTACGAAAGCGTACAGACCTTTTGCAGATGGAGTCCTCTCTGCGACCCCACACGACTCTGCAGGAGGTTAAGCCGTTGACACAGACCTTCACAAATTGACTTAGGTGTCCGCACCACGGAATTACACGTACGTGCGCGTGTGAAACGGATTGGAATTCCCTTGCACGTCTCGATCTCTGGATTGGCTGCCGCCGATCGGCGGGGAATGGCGCCTCGTCCATTACTCCCGGCGAAATTTATGATGAAATTTGTCGGTGAATGCGGTGGAATAATTTTTTTTATTTGTCATTGATTTTCGGGTCGCATCGCAAAAAGTTAAATGTGTGTCGTAATTAATAATACATTTTCAGCCAAAGTTTCTGCCAGCAGATTTTCCAACAAAATTGGGATGTGGGCACATGGTGTTGTCCCATAAGGGATCACAGCAAGGGTTTTACATAACAGAGTAGACTGAATTTGGTTCTATTGGGTAAAGCCTTGATGAAGGCCGCTTGTGTTGTGGCCGAAACGTCGTGATTTTTGTTATTTTATTTTTTACCTACGTGACTTTACCCAATAGAACCAAAGAGTATGGATCCTAGCAGTCACGAAAGCTTTAAATCTAGAAAAGAGTAGACTGATTTCTCCCTTAATTGGTGTAAATCTAACATCAATCTAACATCAGTAGCTGTTGTTGTACAATTTATCCAGACACTGGTTCAAGCGTGTAGCCTAGTGTTTTGAAGACAAGGTTGGTGGATCACATACTTCTGGGCTAGAAAGTGGTCAGCAGATGTAAGTGCAACAAATCGGTTGCTGGCTTGTCCGTGCGGGTTTTGGGTGGTATTCGTGCGGATTCTGGGTGGTACACGTACGCAACATACCTCATGTGCGTGCGCGACCGCGTGTTTCTGTTCACAGCTGGTGCGGGATCAGATGAGCCACTGCTCTGTGAAGCTACGGCAGACGACAGGGCTCATAGAGTTCTGCCTGGAGGTGATCAAAGAGAACGACCCCAGCGGATTCCTGCAGGTACCGACATCAAACTCAAGACAGCAGTAGCCAAGTGGTGAAAGTGCGACTGCGTAGATGTTCGCGGTTGTGCTGGACAGCTCTCCGATGCGTTCCATCGATGCCGCATGTTGTTCAACACGTCTGATGTTTCACTCCATGTGCTGGGAGAAATACCCATCTCTTTTAGCAGTCCTAGGACAGTGGTGGCAATTCCATTGTAAGTACGGTGGGAGCCAGTTTTTGATTCCCATGCGACAACAACTGTTTGTGGCTTCCCACAAACAGTACTTTTTATTGATCATGGAGGCATAAGCTCGTATTTCCCCTTCCCCAAGATGTAAGCCTTTAGTGAGTCATTCACCCTTCCACAGCACCGCACTGTCGAACACTGTTTTTTTTTTATTAAAACCACAGCTCGTAATAATTACAACGCTAGAATTTACACAGGACATAGGGATGAATCGAAGTTGTGGCGCATGCTGCGATTTGGAGTTTCCACCACTCCCTCAGGGTTGCCAACAGAGACGCATGCCCTCCGATTGCTCTCTTGATTACAAAAACACATTCCCACTTGTTTATTGATATGTAAACGGACTGTGACTCAATTTCCCAGTTAGCTGTGGCATACAAACATCTACCCCCGGACAGACCGTGACTCTTAACTGTGAGTATTGATCTGGAAAGCCAACATACTGATAGACTAACATATTTTATCTGGAAGTGGAAACGCATAACGGAGGTTTGCTCTTCTAATATCGGACTAGGACTCAAAATAAATGTCCACCGTAATATTTATGAATCACGAATATATTCCAGTAAAAAAATATATCAACACTTAAAACATCCGATAACTATCGCTATGTGCTTTGCAAACTATTTAACATTATCCAATTTGTGCATGCTGCAGTATTTACATGAACACTGTTTCACGCTCTGCTCTCTGCCACGTCGTCCCTCACTCCTCCTTTCACTCCTTCACTCACTTCACTGTTTTAACTGACTCTCTCCCCTAACTAACTCAGCTGTCTTAACTGACCACGCGGTCCCCTAGCGACTCAACTCCTAACTCCCACATCCCTTTCACCTGTCGATCATCCCACTTCCCAGTCTCCGCACTCACACCCGCAATCACTGCGAGACCCCCGCGAACGCTGTCGCATGACTGAAGGGAGTCGTGACACGAGTTTCAGCGGCGGAAGCCACCGAGAGAATGCACTGATGCCGTTGCTCATGGCGACGGTGGCTGTGGTTAGACGCACGCAATTGTCATCCTGTGCCATCATCATGATGACAGCAGCAGCAGCAGCTATGCTACCTCCACCCCCACGATGATTGCCAGTCGCAGCACAAAGTATTGATTTGCACATCCATAGGCTCCACAACGAGAAATGTCTCCTCTTCACTGTCATTCTTTTTCGGAAACAAAAGCTAAATCTGGGAATATCCTTTCAGGACTGTGCAAAATGTAAAATGTTTAACCCAAGTAGTTTTTAAAAATATATTTTATTAAAAGGGTGCTTATTCAGATATAAACGTGCCAAGAAGGGGCAGCGCAGCACAGCGTCACGAACTAAAGTCGTCACATGATCAATGATCGCAGATGACCAAATCACCCAGCATGTACCCAATCTCGTCAGAAGCTAAGCAGAATTTAGCCTGGCTAGTGCCTGGATGCACGTCCACCGTGCATCACAGCTATTATAGGTTACTGCAGCGTTATGTTGCAAGAGTGGAATAAACTGGCGTTGCAGAAAAACAATTGCTGGGCTGCACTATGCCCAATCGTCAGTGCTTCCTGCCTTCACCAACCTGCACTGACCAGCGTGGCGAAGTATGGCCAAACAACCCCCCCCCCCCGCTCCCACTGCATGATGGGTAGGCGCTCATCAAGCAGTGGATTGACAAAGGGGCTGTAGGCGCAACATGTAAACACACACGCGCACACATGCTCAATGGGCGTACGCGCCCATTCAACTATTGTCGTATTGTAAGACGCGAGCGAGGGGTGGGGGCAAGTTGCAGGAAGGGGGGGAGGGGAGCATCGGGTCGGGTTGGCAGGCGCCGTCAACAGTTCACCACTCGAGCTCATTAATATTCACAGCGGTTGGCGCATGCCTAAAGGGGGGGGGGGGGTGTAGCGCGTGATACGGCAACTTCGTGCGGTGAAATTAAAGTGCTCATCAATATTAATGATGTCACGTGCGCGTGGCGTGGTTACTAGCCTGTGTGCGTGTGTGTGCGTGAGATCGTGTGTGTGTGTGTTTGGCCTCAACGTGCACATAGCCTGGCACAAGCGCCGTGGTGACGTCGCCGCCACTTAGTGGTGAATGGCGGTTGTTGTAAGCGATGGTTTCGGGAAAGGGCGTTCCTGCACAGATGCCATATTTTATGTCATGTCTGCTGCAGCAGAGGTGTAAGGGAATTCCAACAGGACCTACATCTCTGCTTTATTGACCTGACCATCAGTAGGCCTGGGATCTGGGTTGCTCTTCGTGCTTTCGGAGTCCCTGACCCTCTGCTCACGATCATTAAGGACCTTCAAGGGTGCGGTCAAGTGATGGCTCCCTATTGGTCAACCATCTTATGTATGCTGATGATATGGTGATTGCTGCTCACTCAGAGGAGTTAGAGGCGCTGCTGCTGAATCTGGAGCGTGCTACTAAAAGGCGGGGTTTTACCATCAGCCCCACCAGAACTCAGCACCTGCCTAGGTATTTTGTACCATCAGATACTCCACCCCCACAACTCCCAATTGGTGATGGGGCAGTTGTGGAGAGAGTGGAGTGTTTTCCATACCTGGGCAGTGTGCTCATGACCTGCTCCGGTTTTACAGCAGAGGTCTCACTCCGAATCAGTCGAGCGGCATCTTTTCATCGTCTGCATAACATGTGGAAGCTAACTGGTCTGTTGCTTCAAGCAAAGCTTTGGGTCTTCTTGGCCACGGTCATGCCCTTCCTTCTCTATGCTTCTGAAATGTGGACCCCCCCTAATGGAACATCTTCGCCAGTTGGAAACATTTAGGCTGGCCTGCCTACTATCCATCCTGGGTTTAACCAGGCTGGATTGTGTGAGGAGCTCACAAATCCTTGAAAGATCTGGACAAAGTCCCATTGGTGAGCTCCTCCGGCAGGCAAGGCTGCATTGGCTGGGTCATGTAGCCCACATGCCCAGCCACCGCATGCCTAAGCAGCTTTTGTTCGGCTGGATAGAGGGGGCTAAACGGGCACGGCATAGGGCTAGAGAAGAGATGGAGTGATGTGGTACAAGAGGATGTGGAGCTGAGTGGACTTGCCAATGACTGGTACTAGCGGTGTCAAGATCAGTCTCTGTGGACGAGGCTCATGAAGGATGCTACTACTGGGCAGTTCAAGGCAGCCGCCCTCCAGCAACAACAGAGGGCAGAGGAGCGACGCTCGCAACAATGAGCCCAGCGCCAGATGGCTAAAACACAGCAAGTTGACACAGTAGGGGGCACAGGTGGCACATTGGCCAGTCATCTCAGTCAGTTAACCCATTGCACCTGGGTCTGTCCCATGACCTGCCAGCGGGCGTTTGACACTTCACGTGGCCTTAACATGCACATAGTCTGGCATAAGCGCTTTGGTGACATCACCACCACTTAGGGGCAATTGTCGGTTGTTGTGCAAGCGGTAGTGTAGCAGTTAGCGTGTGCTGCGCTACGAACCTGGTGACCCAGGTTAAATTCCCACTGACCGCCAACACCACTGACGATTATCTGAACCAGTCCTGGGCCTCCCCTAGGTCGACTCAGTCTCCAATGAGTACCTGGTGAAGAGCCTGAGCCATGCCACTATATGTCACGTGCATTGAACGAGGCGAGTCGCGCGTATGATGAAAAAGATTAAAACCACCCCCTGGCCCCTACTTAACCCCGAGTCAGATTCGGATGTTTCATGAGGCCAGAGTTTCATGGTTTGGTACTGGCCCGGGTTGGTAAAATAGCCAGTGGAAAACCACGCCGTGCTGACGTGGCTTGAGTGTGCCAGTGGAAAAAGGGAATAAAACTTCAAAGCGGTGAAACCTTTGCAGTCTCCCTAATGCAGTGTGGACAAGTTTCAAATGAGCTGCTTTTCCAATTGCCGTGTGTGCACGTCACGCATATACATTGTGTGTGCTATGTGTACACTGTCCATGTACGCTATACACTGTGTATGCTGTGTGTGTATGCTATCTGTAAGCTGTGTATGTTATTCGTACACTGTGTGTGTACGCTGAGTGTGTATGCTATGGGAGTACGCTGTGTGTGTACGCTGCGTGTGTACGCTATGGGACTATGCTGTGTGTGTACGCTGCGTGTGTACGCTATGGGAGTACGCTGTGTGTGTAGGCTGCGTGTATGCTGCGTGTGTAGAATGAGTGTGTAGGCTGAGTGTGTGGACTGAGTACACTGTCTGTGTACGCTGTGTGTATTCACACACACACACACTGCGTACGTTGCGTGCGCCGAGCAGATCTCGGATGCCCTCATCAAGCGCGTGCACAGCACGGAGGAGCAGTGGGGGCGGGGGGCGCTGCAGCCCCGCGCCAACCCCGAGTTTGACCTCTCCCTCGACAGCGGACCCCTCCTGCACTCCATCCAGCAGCTCGACTTCCTGCAGACTCGAGGTGAGCCCTGGCTGTGGTGTGGGGTGAGCGCCACCTTGTTGAGACTTCACGCCCCCACTGGGGGTCGACCAAAACGGCCGTGCTACGGAGAGAATGGCGACTGACACAGAAACGTGGAATTTCCACCGCTGGCTCGGGGATATTGGCGTTGATGAGCACCACTCAACTCTTGCTTGAGCATCTGAGGCTCCTCCATTGGAGGTAAACGCAGTCCATCATCACTGCGGAGTCAATAATATAGGTACCGCTTTTTGGGAAGTCAGCGGTGGTCGTCTTGCGAATATAATGTAGGAATGTGAAATTTCCATCAAAAGGTTAACACTGAGGGTTAGCCCTATGCAACGTTTAACGTTTTGATAACAATAATACAATACCTTAGAGATAAATTGATCAATAAAAGTGGCGGCTGGGTGGCTCCGGAGGCTATCGGCCACAGAGATCCTGGGATAGAGACCATTATTCTTCCACCTGTCGTTAGAGCCTCCACGTGGTTGTCGGTCTTAGCTTGGTCACCAATGGCCGCACAAAACACCAACACAATAAAATCAGGGTTTGTATTTATTTATTTTGGGCATGTTCCATCTGATTGGAATTGCATTTGTTGCAATGACCAGCGTGGTAAAGTATGGTCTTAAAACAACCCCATCGCCGACAACGGCGTGGGGCGGGCCTTCATCTGCTGATAGCTTGAGAATGGCTGGCGTTGAATGATTTTATTTTGTATACAGTTCATAGCTCAGCCAGGTGATGTGATTCAGTCAGAAGGTTGTGAGTCACAACTCCCAGTGGGTGGTCGACTCAACGCCAGTTTATGGAATTCACTTACTCGGTACAAAACATGTTTTTATAACCGATAACCACTTTATTCCGCAAGTGAATAAAGGTGGAGAGTGTGGCACTTTTAGCGCTTAACAAGCAACGCATTTGAAATGCACGGCCTGTGCCACTGTGTGCTGCACATACTCTCTTGAGTGCCCACCCTTTGCTTGTGTAGCAGAGCATTCCATCCTGCATTTACTTACCCACTGAGTGCCGAGCAAAATAACACATTTACTCTACTTGTACAGAATATATATACAGCAATGGGTGGAGTGGTGGCGCAGTTATTAACGCACACTGACATCAGAACCGGCCCTGCCATCTCCTCCCCTGCCTGCCGCTCCACCTCCACCACCTACACCAGGAGTGGGGAACGTCCGGCCCGTGGGCCGTATGAGGCCCGCGAAACCATTTGGTCTGGCCCTGCCAAGGCAACCGCAGGCGGGACTCGAAATTCAATAAATCTAGGAGCAAACTTGGAAAAGCAGTTGCGAGTAGCGACATCATCAATACCAGCTAACATCATCACACGCCTTACCAAAGAGAAGCAGTTCCAGCCGTCACATTAGGGGCGAGTTAATTAAATGTTTGACCAAATATAACAGGCTAATTTTAAAGTTGATAATTTTGTATGGCCCGCGAATGATGTTATAAATATCCAAATGGCCCTTGGCAGAAAAAAGGTTCCCCACCCCTGACGTACACCAACCCGAACTGACCAGTGTGGTGAAGTATGGTATAAATAAAACTTCCATGACTGACATAGTGTGCTTGGGATGGGAAATGGCTGGATGTTTGTGTGTGTGTGTATATATACAGTAGGTGGTATGCATCTGTTAGTCCTTGATAAAATACCGGAACACTGGAAATTCACGTATCAATACATGCAGCCACACCAAGTGGTGACTGGATTTTCCACCACTGGCATAGGGCCTCCGGCGGGAACGTGCCCCCACAGTGCTATATTGAGCTCTGATTTTTATTACTTTGACACTAACTATTAGGCTGTTCCGCCGCCTGTTCATACTTGCTCTGATTACTGCTGAGAATCGTTTTTTGCGTCCTTTTGCCTGACAGCTCATTTTGTGTGAATTTTGTCTTTTCTTTGGTGTCAGTTCCATTGGGGAGATCTTCTTGATAATGTCCGTATTCACTCTCTCTGATGGCCTTTGTTGATAAAGCTTGCACTCTCTGTGTTGTTGCGATTGATTCGTCTCTTGATAGCAGGCTGCGGAAGGTCTGCTCCCTATCGGCTTTTCTGTCCAACTCCTGTGTCGGTTTTTTTTTGCACTCGCTAACGAAAAATGTTTGCTGAAGCATTTTTGTTGGACCGTCTAATTGTCATTTGGTTGCCTCTGATTTCTGTATTTGTGCAACAAGAAATAGGTTCATCTGTAAATACTTGGCACTGGACCTGTAAGCTGAAAATCACAAACACTTCAGCGCTGTCATAATTTAACGCTGTGGCATAAATGATGCAGCAGAAACATAATTTAACGTGTTTGTTAGTAGTTTATTTTCAGAGGAGAGAATGTATTGATAAACCAGTGCATTTTTAACGGATGTTTTTCTGGAACTTGGTGAATTACGTGCACAAAGTTACGCCAGATATACTGGCACACACACAAAAACATCCAGCCATGCTTCAGAGCTGAGGTTGGTGGATCACTCAGAGATTATTGTGCGCTGTGAGACTCTCCAGTCTGTTGGGCTTCGAGGTGGTGAGTTGATCGTAATGCATGTACCACAGGGGTCTTTGATTGTGAGGTTTTTTGAGTTTATCGCCTCGTGTGATTTCACCCAGGAGGAGGAGGGGCCAAGAGTGGAGGTAAGATCATCAAAGTCAGTCATGAGTTGGGTTTTGGCATTAAAAATCCAATAATTGACAGAGCTTGAGATTGGTAATAAGTGGTGGCTGAAGGGGGAGAGATGTACAAATGTAGCATAACAATGAGAGAGGTAGAAAATGTGAGATCAGGTTCGGAAAATGTCAGCAAGGCCCGTACTCTGACCAGAGTGAGTGAGTGCGCCAGTAGATGCGTGAAACCTGCAAGGGCGGAGTCAGAGTTCAACCCTGGACCGGGGAGGTGGGGGAAGAATTAAATAAAGACAATGCTGAGCCAAACATTTTCTTCATAAAAAAAACCGCACGCACAATGGAATGCCGCACCCACACACATTCACTTGTAAACTGGCACGCGCATGCAAAGTGCCCATCCATCACAGCAGCGACTGCTACTGCTTGGCAGCTGCTGCGAATGCTGAGAGCTCTGCGTGTGCACGGGATTGGTCCGGGTATCACCGACCGATCCTAGGTGGTGCATGCGCCGTGTCAAGAAAAACAACATTTGCACTAACTAGGGTTGCCGTGATATCATTTGTTTCGCAATACGATCGGATACTCATTTGAACGTTGTGATGATTATCACAATACTGCATCAGCTGCTCAAACTGTACTTAAAACATTGTACTTTACGGTTATGTTGTGTTGAGTCCGTTGCTTGCACTACCAGTGCAATTAAAGATGACTTAAAAAGTTCTTCAACTGCAGTTTATTCGCTTTAAGCCTGCAGAACTCAATGGATTTTTTTTTAGCCACATTTGGCACGTAGGGCTCCAATTTATAAAACCAGTAATGCATGTGCTGTCAGTCTACGTGAGATGAACTAGGACAATGATGTCCTATAATAACGATGCTGTCGATAACTCAGAACAATTAAAATGCCCAACCAATAAAGACCATGCATTCGTGCACAACGGACGATGCGACCGTCGCGGGCCTTGTATCGTACGACGTACCGTATCCGCCGTGTATCACTGCAAGCCTATCGCTGACGCTGATGCATGCGTACCCCTGTTCTCAGTGTGCACGTGCTCTGGTAGCAGCAGCGTTTCGCCCGCTGGTTTTCTCCTCTTGCCAGCGTGCAGCGTCCTTGCGCACAATGGCGGAGCCAGGATTTTCAGGTAGGGGGGGGGGCAACCCCACCAGCAATGAGAAATGATAGAGGAGTTGTTAGTAAGTTAGAACTTGTCCCTTGCTTTTTATTCGACGCGTGTGCGGCGATGGAGCAGCCATCGATCGAGGGGTCGAATTCGAATCGCGTTCTGTGATCGCCATCGCGCTCGCTGAAGGTGTCGATGCCTTCAGGGAAGTCGTGTAGTGTGTACGCAACTGCGCACAATTCTGAGTCGCTTATAACCGCTTTTCCGTTACTTATTGCCAATTATGGAATCAGACTATTGTCTTATCATCTCATAGAGTCCCTGGCACATAATAATATGCTACACAGTGGCAGTGGGGGACGCAAAATGCCGATTTATTACGAATAAACCCCAATGATCCGATCACTGGGGCTTGAACCCCCTGCGTCCATGCTGGGGTTCAGGGTGCACGGTAGATAAACGCATTATTTGGCGACAACTGCGTTGGCAGTGGTGCACACGCACAAATAACAGCAACAAAAACTCAACACGTTCGTCAATAACACTGTGGCCTCAAAAGGACAAATATATATAGTTGACGTTGCTGCCAATGATCCTTCTTCATAGCACATAAAATAGCAGAGTTGTGTGCTATGAAGAAGTGCCATTGCCCAAAACGTCACCTATTATATATCTTACCTTTTGAAGGCCACGGTGTTATTGACAAATGTGTTGAGTTAAACAAATATATATTTACACACAACCGATAGATAGATAGATAGAGATAGATCGATCCGTGTACAGTGTGGCAGAACACAAGTAAACAAACCCTAAAAAAAATGTGCTTTCGTGCAAAATCAGTTTATGGTACTCACGCATCTTCAGACGCGAAACATCAATGTCCGTTTATTGCGCATTGCGTGTATATATTCACGTACTCGATTGCACAAGAGATTGGGACGAAGAATGGCTAAAATTAGTGATGGGGTGACAGCCAAGTGTGGAAACAAAATAGAACGGAATCACCTCGAGGGATTGCAACGTTGAAACTAGGTCATGTGTGACCGTGCCTGGTATTGTCGCCACGCAGATCCATGCTGTGAGCAGAGAGAGGGCTTAACGCTGCATTGGTTTATGAATGAATGATGAATGTCGTAAATCTGCGCGCTGTCATTTTGTTCAATTACCAAAGGGTTATCTGCAATGCTGCAGAATATTATTATTTTTGCACGCCACACACATATACTCCGGTTAGCTAT